AAGATGGTCATAATATATATACACAACATATCCTCACTAAACACCCCAACAATAATAATAGAAAAAAAATATATATAAAAACACATCATCTCTGGATGCCTAATGACATTCGACATATATATATATAAAACTCCGACCTCTTCCCCCTCTCTTCTCCCCTCACCCTCACCCCCTCACCCCCTCACCCCCTCACCTCCCTTCCCCCTCACCCTTCCTTTCCCCTCATCCCCTCACTCCTCACCCCCCCTTCCCCCCCTCACCCTCCCTTCCCCCCTCACCCTCCCTTTCCCCTCACCCCCCCTTTCCCCGTCACTCCTCACCCCCACAGACATACAGTAAACACCCCCCCCCCTCTTCTACGCCTCCTTCTATGACCATCTGCGGACTCGACACTCAGTATAAGGAGTATAAGGCCCGTACACTTATCCTTTGCAAAAAAAACATACACGAGGAAGCTCTGTTAATGATTATGATGATGATCATAAAAAAACGAGCGATGGCGGAGGTACAGTAACTTTATATGGGGATTTACGATGGCTTTTGCAACGACGCGAGGCCAGATGAATAGTGATACGGGTTGATACGTATGCAGTTTGGTGCAATATCTTTTTTTTTCTTTTTTTTTGGGGGGGGAGGGAGGAGGAGTGACTACGACTGGCATTTTGTGGATAGGCAGTCTTATATAAATAGATTGATGGTTAGGTAGATAGATAAATAGATAGGTTGATAGATGATTATTGGAAGGATCGATAGACGGATAGATTGACTGATAGATAGACTGATAGATAGGTAAGTAGATGGACAGATATACAGATAGACAGACTTAGATATAGATGTAGATATAGATTTATATAGAACTGATCTTGCTACATCTTCCCGTGACTGATAATGCGCCTTGCAAAGTACCTACAAGTTGCAATATAACTAGCTATTGGCAAAATCATTAGGTGACTTGTTGCATGTATAAAACAAACTGCAAACTCATTACCAAAAGATAGGATACAATAGGGAAAAAAAATAGCTGATGTGAGGGGGGGGGGAACAACTTTTTTCCTGACCTTTTAAACCGTAATGATTCCAATGCAACAAATATGCAAATTAAGACTCATCAAGACTCCAGTACATTTATTTAGAATAAAAAATGGAAATTTTTCATGTACATAAAATATCTGAGAATGAATATCACAAATCACATTTAAAATATACTTCAAAACAGGGAACATAACGAGAACATTCTGAACATTGAAGCAACATTGCAAGAAATGTTGCAACTCGACCGACGTCAACACGGACAATAACACTTCCTAATTACAACATAGACAATAACACAACATAACATGCAACATAATGGTGATTATGATGATAATAAGAACTTTATTTTATGTTCTGATTATCATGTGAGATATGATATAAACACCACTACATACATACCAATATTTTTATTATAATAAAAAATAGTATAATTATAACGCTCCTCATGATAATAATGATGATAAAATTAATAGAAACAGCAATAAGGATTTGATGACAATAATCATGAATGCGAAAATAAGTCATATTACGAATAATACAAATACCATTAATGTAATAATAATAGAGATCATAGAAATAATGATGATAAAGGTCATGATAATGATAGACATGATAATAATGATGATAATCATAATAATAATTACAACAATAATGATAATGACGATAGTAATGATGACAATAACAAAAATTGTGATAATAATGATAATGATAATAACAATAACAATAACAATAATAATAAAGATAATGATAATTCCAATAATCATATTGATAATATTGTTGTCCATAATAACAATGACAATAATGATAATAATAATAATAATAATAATAATAATAATAATAATAATAATAATAATAATAATGATAATAATAATGATAACAATAATAGAAATAAAAATAATGATAATAATAATGATAAAAGCAATACTACTACTAATAATAATAATGACAACAGTAATAATAATAATAATAATAATAATAATAATAATAATAATAATAATAATAATAATAATAATAATAATAATAATGATAATAATAATAATATAATAATAATAATAATAATAATAATAATAATAATAATAATAATAATAATAATAATAATAATAATAATGATAATAATAATAATAATAATGATAATAATAATAATAATAATAATGATAGTAATAATAATAATAATAATGATGATGATAATAATAATAATAAATAATAATAATAATGATATAATAATAATAATAATAATAATAATAATAATAATAATAATAATAATAATAATAATGATAATGATAATAATAATAATAATAATAATAATAATAATAATAATAATAATAATGATAATAATAATAATAATGATAATGATAATGACGATAATAATAATGATAATAATGAAAATAAAGATAATAATAATGAGGATAATGATAATGATAATAATAATGATATTAATAATAATAACAATAATAGTAATAATAATAATAATAATAATGATAATAATAATAATAATAATAATAATAATAATAATAATAATAATAATAATAATAATAATATAATGATAATAATAATAGTAATAATAATGATAAAAAAGTAATAATGATAATAATAATAATAATAATAATAATGATAACAATAATAATGATAATATAATAATTATAATGATGATAATGATAATAATAACAATAATGAGAATGAGAATGATAATAACAATGTTAATGATAAATACAGCGATAATAATGATGATGATGATGATGATGATGATGATGATAATGATAATATTAATATAATAATTCTTATTATCATCATTATTATCATTATCACCATTATCTGTTATTGATATCATTATCCTCATTATTATTATCATTATGATCATCGTTATCATTATTGTTAATATTCAATTATTACTATTATTATTACTATTATCATTATCATCATTATCATCAATCTTATTATCATTATTATTATCATATAATTCCGATTATAATATCGATGAAAATAATAATAATGATCACGATTATGATAGTGATTTTATCCCTAATGATATTAATCTCTAAAAGAATAATGATGATAATTTGTTGCAAACAGACAGACGCAATACAAAGAATTTCAGTGACAGCCACTGTTGTTGCAACGGGCATAACTAGCACTGATAGATAGCTGTTGACAGTAATGAGGATAAAAATAATATTATCATTTAGCTAGTTAGTACATGTGTTTGTTTGTTTTCTTTAATTTTTTTTCCTTTCCCCCGATCGACCCCTCCCCCCCCCAAGATCATATACGGACTATATCTATAACGCAAAAAAAAAACGGTTTTATGAATAATGCAACTCATGCTATGGCAGTGATGTCTCACCTGAAGGGGGGGGTGAAGGAGTAGGGAGGGGAGGGGAGTGGGGGTTCAAAGATCATGAAGGAGGGGTTGGGGGGTGGGGGGAGGAGGTAATGGGCAGGTTACGTCATTCTAAAGTGTGGATCGAGGCAGAAGGAGCGTATAATTCTACAGGTATGCAAGGATTGCTTGTGGATTGCGGAACATTCATGAGGAGCTACGAGGGAAGTAAATTAAAAAAAGAAGAATAGAGAGAGAGAGAGAGAGAAAGGGAGAGAATGGATAAAGAGAAAGTGATAATTACGCTAGTATAGAACCAAACAAAGAAAATCAAAGAAAAACAAGAAAAAAATCCCAAAACAAACACATCCATCTATCTATTACCCCCCCAAACAAATAATTCGACAAATAAACAGAAAGAAAAAGAACGATAAAAACAAGGCACAGAAACCAAGGGGCGTTTTCCCGGAAGCGAAAGACGCTGGCTGATGTTTAACAAATGCCACGAGAGTTCCCTGGGCAGAGGAACGGTCCAAGGGAGACTCCGGGTTGAAAAGAGAAGGAGCTGATGTTTAACAAATGCCACGAGAGTTCCCTGGGCAGAGGAACGGTCCAAGGGAGATTCCGGGTTGAAAAGAGAAGGAGATGATGTTTAACAAATGCCACGAGAGTTCCCTGGGCAGAGGAGCGGTCCAAGGGAGACTCCGGGTTGAAAAGGGAAGAAGAAAGGAGGACGTAGAAAAAAGGAATTTAGAAGAGTGAAAATTAAGAGTTCGTAGAGTTAGAAAAAATATATATAGAATTATAGAGCTATTTATGATTAGAAGAATTGAAATTTAAGAATTAGATTTCTTTGTTAGAAACAGAAAAAAAATCTGAGTTAGAGTTGTGAGAATTAGAAGAGTTTTTAGAATTAGAGTTATTAGAATTTTAAGGATTAGATTTAGAATTTGAAGAATTATAAGTTTCAAAAGGGAATGGGAGGCTTTGAAATAGTACATTGGGTAAGGTAACGGTCTATATGAATTAAATTTTTGCTGAAGTATAAGTATATGTAAGTTTAAAATACCGAATACATCACACTAAATAACATTCGGGTAAAGGATTGTTGTTGTTGAAATTAAGAAAAAGAAAGAGAGAGAGAGAGAGAGAGAGAGAGAGAGAGAGAGAGAGAGAGAGAGAGAGAGAGAGAGCGAGAGAGAGAGAGAGAGAAAGAAAGAGAGAGAGAAAGAGAGAGAGCGAGAGGGAGAGAGAGAGAGAGAGAGAGAGAGAGAGAGAGAGAGAGAGAGAGAGAGAGAGAGAGAGAGAGAGAGGGGGAGAGAGAGAGAGAGAGAGAGAGAGCGCGAGAGAGGGAGGCCTGGCTTCTCACACCCCATAACCTTTTGTCAGCGTCAAGACTCCTGGATCGTCCCGTAATTCCTACCATTACGGCGGCATGATTCCTCCTGTGCTTTACGAGGCCCAGTTCCGCGCAGTTAAGGCGGCCAGTCAGGGGGTCGTGGCTTTTGCAGGCGTTTGGGCGGCGGCGCTCGGGTCGTCTCGGAAGCCTACAGGAAACGAGGAAGTCTATCGTAAAGGAGGTTTGACATTTGCATTCATAGGAGGGGCTGAGGACGTTCCCTAAGGCGCCGCGGGGCACGGGCGTGGGGTCCTACGTCTCGAAGTACATGTTCCTGATATGTGCCAGGGCGCTGAGGAGGGTCCCGCCCACCGACCCCCGGGGGGGCTCCCCGGGGTACTCCGGCGTGCCCACCTCCCCGCGGTACATCTCCCCGGGGTACTCCTCTGCCCCCCGGTACCCCTGCTGCTGCTGCTCCCCGCCCAGGTACTCCTGCTGCCTCTCGGACGCCCTCCCGTACTGCTGGTGGGGGTAGGCTGCCCCCATGCGCTCCTCCGGGTGGGGGTACTCCTCGTCGGGGTAGTCGGCGCGCTCGCGGAAGTCGAGGCGCGCGTAGGGGGGCTGCCCACCGTCGCCGCGGTACTGCGTCAGCGGGTCGCAGCGGAACGGCATGCGGAAGGCCTCGTCGGGGAACGCCTGGTGGCCCGGCGGCGCCACCTCCCGGTACTGCTCCTGCGGCTCCTGCTTGTACTCGAGGCGGGCCTGCGGGCACGGAGGCGGAGGGTGGGCCGCCCACGCCATGCCCGACAGCTGCTGCTGCGGCGACGGGCGGTGGCTCGGGCCGCACTCCGGCCCGCTCAGGTAGCGGTCGAACTCGGCGCGGTCCACGTCCAGGTCCACGTCGGCGCCCATCTGGCCCATGCCCGAGTAGTGGCCCTGGGGGGGTGGCCCCATGTAGCCGGGGTACGCGCCCAGCACCCCGGGAGCGGCCATGTTGGCGTAGGCCTGATGGTGGCCCGCGGGGAAGGCGTAGGTGGCCATGGGGGCGGCCGGGTGGGCGGGTCCCGGGGAGGAGTGGGCGGGGAACACACACGCCGGGTGGGCGGGGCCGGGGGACGAGTGGGCGGGGTACACGCACGCTGGGTGAGCGGAGCCCGGGGAGGAGTGGGCGGGGAAGACGCAGGCGGGATGGGCGGAGTGGGAAGGGTGCGTGGGGTGGGCGGGCCCGGGCGAAGAGTGGGCGGGGAAGACGCAGGGCGGGTGGGCGGGCGACGGCGAGGAGTGGGCGGGGAAGACGCAGGCTGGGTGGCCGTTGACGGGCGAGGGCGGCGGGGGGAAGCCGCAGGCGGGCCGCGGGCTGAGGAGGGCGGCCTCGGCTGTGGGAGGAGAGGCGCCGAGGATTAGGGATGAGGCGAAGGGGGGGGGGGGGGATTAGTTCTCTACGCTACCTAGTGACCAGCAAAGTGGCATAAAACAAATGCCCGCTTGGTCTGCATGAGAAGCAAATTGAATACAACTAAGGGGACAAACCACTTCACAAAGGAGCCATGACTGGGTTGCGATAGAAATTAGACAATCAGACAACAGTTCAAAGCAACGTGAATCAGATCTCTGGCTCGCCGCAGGGTGCCACCGCCGCTCGAAATCGTCTCGCAGTGCCAAGGAGCCTCCTCGCAGTGCCACACAAGGTTTACTCGACCCGCGTCTGAGGTTCTCACTTACCCTTGATGGGCGGGGCCTCGTGGCGGGCGCCTCCCTCCTCCCCGTCAGCGTTCCCCATCACGACGTCCTCGGGAGGGCAGTGAAGGGCGGACTCCTCTCGAGGGCTCCCACGGGCGTGTAGCGACGGTGGGGGCGCCTCTGTCGGAGTGCTGTTGGTAGTCGAGGGCGGGGCCGAAGGGTAGCCTCCGTCTGCGCCTTCGTCACCTTCGCTGCCAGCTGCGGGAGGAGAGGAAATGCTGTTGTGAATACGACTTTATGATCAAATCTATCAGTGAAATGTCTGTTTGAAATATTTTGCTAAATCCAAGGCGAAGCAACCGTAGCGAAGCCCTCAGCCCTTTGTCCCTGAGGGCCGGCACAGCCTCTCCTCGAAGCCCCGAGGCTCCGAGGGCGTGGCACTGCGCCTCACCTGTATCCGGCGAAGGCGCTGGGTTGTAGGACGACACGATGTTCTTGAGGGTGTGGTAGGCGTCGGGGAAGGCCGGTGCGCGCTCGAACAGGGAGATGAGGTGGGAGAGCGCGCGCGTGCCCGCACCTGGTGAGACCTCGGGCGTCGTCGAGAGCTGGCCTTCCCTTCCGACGCCCGCGCCAGAGGCTGCAGAAGGCGGCGTGGGTGAGCCTGCGGAAGGCGAAGACAGAGGGATTCGACGGTTAAGGGAATTTCGAGGTTCGCTTCGGATCGAAGTCCTGCTCTAGATATTCGAGAAATCTGTTTACTGCCTCTTCATTTGCGGAAAAATAACCACATAATGATATCCATAAGAAAACCAATGAAATTATAGAAAATGCAGGATATTTTATAAAGAAAAGGGCTAACTAATTCTTCAGTACAGTGGCCTACATAAAAGGTCTATCACGACGGCTGGCGACCTCGAGCGCGACGTCTGCGTCCGCGCTCTGGTCTCTTCCCGAGCTGAGAGCCCGAGGCGCCGGTCTCGCTCACCTGCGCTGGGGTGCTGCCCCCGCGGGCCGAGTGCGGGGGGGTCGGGGTCAGGCGAGCTGCTGGGCGAGGTGTCGGGGGTCAGCGAGGAGGCCACGCTCACGGCCGGCGGGGTGCTGGGGGTCGCCGCGCCCCCCTGCTGACCCCCAGACGCTGTCCTGTTGGCGCTCGGCGGCGCCGGCTGCGGCTGCGGGTGGGGAGGGTGGGAGTGTGGAGGCCCTCCTCCCCCTCCCCCTCCTCCTCCTCCTCCTCCCACCGCCTGCGCCTGCTGCGGCGGCTTCTTGGGCTGCTGCTGCTTGCGGCGCCGCGGGCGGTACTTGTAGTCGGGGTGCTCGGCCATGTGCTTGAGGCGAAGGCGCTCGGCCTCCTCCACGTACGGGCGGCGCTCCGTGGGCGTCAGAGAGCGCCACTTCTTGCCTGTGGGCGGAAGACGGCTGTATTTTAGAGAGGGAAAAGTACCATAAAACATTTTACATTTTTTATAAGAAAGGCAGCCGGTGTGTGTTTGCGGGAGTGTTTCCAAGGCCTAAGTACTTATTTAGACCTTGTGTGTATTTGCGTATCTATGCCTACTGGTGTGTTATGTATATATTTGTAGTAAGAAACACATTATAAGATAATGCAACGCAAATTTGGTAACGGCGTAAATAGACAAAAAAATGTATATAAAGGAATTCACAAGGTTACGTCAACAGATGATGGTACTGAACTAAACGGGACCACGTGATTTGTGCAGTTAGTCAAGGGTTCTGCCAGCTGGTTTCTCTCTTTTACACAAAGTTACAACGTTACTTCCTCGGAAAGCACCCTCTTCCACTCCCCCCCCCTCTCCCCCTTCCCCCACCTCCACTCCCCTCCCTCCCCCACCTCCCTTCTCCTCCCTCCCCCCCCTTCCCCTCCCTCCCCCACCCCCCTTCCCCTCCCCCCACCTCGCTCCCTCCGCTGCTCCACAACAACCGAGCTGCCACCGACCATCACCTTCGACAT